CCCGCCCGCGTCAAGGGCTGGAGCCGCAGGGAGGCGGCGGAGCAGCTGTGGCACGAGCGGGACGCGGGGCCCTGGGGGCGGTGTCAGGGCGTCCCGCGCTGGACTGCGACTCTGGGCCGGGAGACTCGGACTCCTGCCGAGGGAAGGAGCCAGGCGGCGGCTCTGGGGGTGCTGCTGGGCTCAAAGGCTGGACACAGCAGGACTTGGACAGGTTACAGGGGTGGGCGAATGAGAATAGGATGCAAGGTGCTGCACTTGGGCAGTAGGAACCAGCAGCAGACCTACAGGCTGGGGGACTCCCTTCTCGGAAGCACAACGGCAGAAAGAATTCCAAGATGAACGTGGGCCGCCAATGCGAGGACGCGGTCAGCAAGGCTAACTGCACCTTGTCATGCAGCCAGAGCTGCATCACAAGCAGGGCCAAGGAGATGATCCTCCCCCTCTATATGACGCTGGTCAGGCCACAGTTGGAGTACTGCGTCCAGTTCTGGGCGCTGCACTTTAGGAGAGATGTAGCTAACATTGTGAGGGTCCAGAGGAGGGTCACCCGCGTGATCCGGGGGCAGCAGGGCAGACCTGACGAGGAGAGGCTACAGGACCTGAACTTGTTCAGCCTTCACAAGAGAAGGCTGAGAGGGGACCTGGTGGCCACCTATAAACTTACCGGGGGGACCAACAGGGCATGGGAGAGACCCTGTTCACCAGAGCACCTCCTGGAGTAACAAGGAATAAGGCCATAAGTTGTTCGAGAGTAGGTTCAGGCTGGACATTAGAAGATACTATTTCAAAGTCAGGGCAGCCAGGATCTGGAACCAACTTCCAAGGACAGGGGTGCTGGCTCCTACCTCGAGGGTCTTCAAGAGGAGGCTTGACAATTACCTAGCCGGGGTCATAAGCCCAGTATTCTCTCCTGCCCAGGGCAGGGGGGCGGACTTGATGATCTACTTAGGTCCCTTCCAACCCTACATCTATGAATCTATGAAAGGAGCCGCTTGTCCGCTGTCCCCTCTTCCCATGGGGCCTGAAGGGTACCTCGTGCCTCACAGCTCATCTGACCTTTCTCAACTATAGTCCAGGAAAGAATATCACCCCAGGCCCCTTTGCTTCTCACACGTTTCCATCACGCCTACAACACTCCAACCTTTGTTCCACCTATTTTTCATTCATAAGATTGTAAGGCTGGAAGGGACCACAGAAGATGCGTTTACAGACACTGAAGGGTGGGGGAAGTGGTCGAAGTTTACCTAGAAACTAGTCTGTTTTGGTCCTGCAAGAACTGCTTCTTATTAATATGCTTTAAGACATGGTGTTTGGTTGTAAAGTAGGCACCTGAAGCTAAGTGTTTTGTTGTGGAAGGGGTGTAGGTTGTAGGCGCATTAGTCTAAGGACACAGGGAGACAAGGATCTTTGGATGAATCTGTGGTTGTGGACCGAGACAGATGTCAGGGCTGGTTTTTACAGAAGGATCAGCATCAAAGTTTTACTTTCAGTTACAAAGCGACATTGGCTTGCCTGCCTTAACTCCAGACGCACGATCTTTGGCTACCTGGAATTCAACTGTATTGACATGAGTATTGGGTAGTAATTAATTGAAGTAATTTAAAGCACTGGATCTTACCACAGGAATTTATTTCTTACTAGGGAATTCCAACTGTAAATATGGCCTTTAGCCGTCCTTTAGGCAACAGGTACCACTTTGAAGATGGGGAAAATAAATTCGCAAGACAGAATCATGCTAAACAGAAGTTTCCGATTTTTCTCCATGTAGACAGTGCGCAGCCAACTGTTGTCTCATCGCAGTGTTAGTTGGAGAAAGTGCATCTAGCTGGTATTAATTTGGGAGGCAGAGATCCAACTCAGCCTTTTCAGACTTGAAGTACGCTCTCTGGCTACTTTGTTAATCTGTGGATGGGTTAGGGTTGCAACTTTTCCAGCCAAATACTGCTTATGAAAAAAATTAAGCTTATTTACAACCTGCCTTGCCTGCTTCTGTTTTTCCTAGTAAACTGTCACCCGTCATCTGCATGCACTAGCTGCCAGTTGATTTGAATGAAATCCAAGTGCTGTTACCAAGTCCATGATTTGAATTCCTGACATCTGGGATATGGATAGCCACTTTTCTTCCCCATTCTGGAAAGTCTGGAGGCTGATCTTGTGCATACACACCACTAAACTCTGCAGTTTGCATACACCTAGGCTGGAAAGTAGATCACTTTTAGTTAGCCCAGGATTTCCTGAATTTTGTAAGGCAGGGAGGTCTAGATGTTTGTGCTTATGTCAATTTACAAACAGACATCTCTTATTAAGTAATGGGGCATACTAGTGTCACCATGATGAAGTTGCATCTTGATGTCTAGTTTAAACCAGCATCTATACCCCAACATACACACTGCATGTCTATCTACAGCAGGGAGAATCATGGGAAGTTGTCACCCTTTCCATGTGATGTTTAGGTTTTATTTGGGGTTCAAATATTAATGTGTGCGCCAACACTTTAGTACTACTTTGGGTGAAACTCCCTTAATCTGGTATCATAACTTCAAGAGATCAAAGGAAGAATCTGGGTTGTGCAGACCAATAAACTGACAGCCCCTACCTTGACAGGGGAAAGAAAATGCTAGTGTAAAACGCACTATAATTTAAGAGGAGAGCTTTTTTTCCATCTTGAAACTTAGAAAGTTCTCTACCTTTGCTAAACTACAGGGTTCCAGACTCTAGTGTACAAGACTTCTTCCCATCTGGCAAGCAACCGGCCACTTAAATTCAGAACACATCTGGATTGACTACAGTTTAATAACCAGCTTCCTCACACAGGAGCTAATGAAATGTTTAAACAGCATTTATAATTCATTCCCATTAATAAGGGGGTGGGGGAGAAAGAGAGAACACCAAACAGGAGCTTCATGTCAGATATGAGAGATGCAGAAAGAAAACCTGGGTTATGTTACTAAAGGATTTCAGACATTAGGGCTGGAAGGGACCTTGTGAGATCATCGGGTCCAGCCCCCTGCCCCAGGGGCGGGAAGTCAGCTGAGATCAGATTGCAACAGCAAGATAAGCATCCAGATATCCTTTCCTTGAACACTTGAAGTTCTGCAGACACTTAAAACCCCAAAAAACTAAAGGACAATGTACAGAAATGCTAATTTTTATATTTGTATTGAAAGTATCTTTGTACAGTATGCAATTTACAAGCATCTTTATCCAAATATTGTAGTATCTCTTGCTGTCCATGTGGCTGTGACAAACTCATTTGTCTTTTTAGATGAACGGTCTGTTTCAAGATACCTGATGTTGTGTTTTGCTTTTCTTTTAAAACACATTTAACAAAATGCATTAGGCATGTACAATCCATATATAAAAAGGGTTGGTTTATTGTAGTTCAAATACATAAACTGAACAATCCCAACATTTCAAAATTAAACTTTAGAAACACAAGTTTAACATTCAAAACAGGAGTATAGTTTACAAGAATTGCCCAGAAGGCAAATCCACAGTCTAATCCAGAATCCAGTAAAGATCACTTTATGGTAAATAAAAATGTTTTTATACAACCGTCCTGTTCTGGGAACCACTGTTTACTGTGTCTCCAATTTTGAACGAAAATTTTCAGACAAGTTTTCACTTGGGCAAAGCAACCTGATTTTGTCTATATATCAGGGGTTGGGGAGGGAACAAAGCAGACCTGTGAACAAATTTAGTTTGGTCTCTGCGATCCTAATTCTCATCTCACAAGTGTAACTCTACTGATTTTAATGGAGTTAATTCTGATCTTAAAAAGGTGAGAGAGCAAGTAAAAAATCAGGCCCCGCTTTTCAAACTAAAACAAAAAACTTACTGTGGCCATCAGCACTCAATAGTTCTGTCATGAGACAATGTTTCATCTGCTCAAACAGCTGACTGCAGGTAACCATCTGACAGTTTGTGGTACTTGAGCAGGTTAAGTTCAACTCACAAATGTTACTCTTCCTTAAGACTTGCATAACACTGCTGAGAAGAATGCCTCCAAATTTCACTGACATCCATACCTCATATACAGATATTCCATTGTTCTGAGATCTAATATTACTAAACACAGCCTGCATGGTTGGGATTTTGTCAGTCATGCCACACACACAAAAATAAAAGCTTAAATATCTTAAATGTTCTCTTTGTACAGAGAGACCCCCTTTATGTTCACAAACGCTGCTTTTTCCTCTGCTCCTCAGATGGTTTTGCAATAGGTTCACGGTAATGTATATTTAAAAACCTGACAGATGGCTCATGCAAGCTTTTTGAATTAACAGATACCCTTGCGTGAGAGAGTATTTCTTAACTATTTTGTTGTTCGTCTTGTGGGCTCTGAAGCTGTGGGAGGTGGTGGAGGACCTCGGCGGTCCAGGTCATCTACATAGGACACAATGAGTTTGCGTCTCTCCTCTGGCACACAGTCAAGTACCAGATAACGCTTGTCATTCTGTAAGATCTTCTCTACGTCTTTCAGATGCTGGTCAGATTCCTGGATCAATTTTTTGGACCTGAAATATAGGATAAGAATTACTATCTGATGGCAGCCTAGAAGCCAACTTCAAATGCATTAGGTGTCTTAATCCAGTTAACTGGGGGTTGATGCCAAAATCATGAAACATGCCCTTGTCATTAGAACCTCTCAGTAGTGCCAAAAGATAGAACAAGTGCAGTGAGGGCACAGGCCCTCAAGCCATCCCCACATCTACAGATACCCCTTCAGTCAGCTGAGTCTCATTGGCAAAGAGTTCTGTTGCCACTGCCTGTCCTTTATCTGTTGGGAGCATAAAAAAAAAAAGTCCGGTCTCAATGGCTGCCAGAACCTTTTATCAGTAGTAAACGAGCTACAACATGTAAATAAGGGAAGAAAAAAAAGTCACACA